TATATAACTGTGTTATCTACATGTAAATGATCATCTTTTCTCAAAATAAATAACATTCGTGTAATCGACTTGCAAGTTTAGAATTTATAAGTTTTTAATAATCAATCTGTTGTATAACTGACTCAACTATATTGTGATTCGCCAGCGAGCAATCCATAGTCTTAAGTCAATGAAGTGTCACCAAGTTAACCTTTAACTCTCACTTAATGAATAGACATGTATTTTTTATGGGTTTGTAGTGTCGGTTATTATGTTAAGTTCATGTACCTTATTCTAGCTTTTAGACAGCTCAATCTGTTCATTCTACTTGAGTCACATTTTGACCTTGTTATTTATCCGCTTATCAATCTTGACTGTTTTTATATGAGCGCGTAGGTGTGTGTACATATCTTATCCCATTACTCATCACGTCTGTCACTTGCTTTTGTGTGACTATAAATATTAATTAAAGCTTAGTTAAATGGGGGTTGGCTTACCCGCCATCTCCACTGCGCGTCGTTTCGCTTGTTCTATTCCATTCGCTTTATATACAAAATATATGTATTCATAAGTCCATTTTCGTTATTTGATTTATTTAATTCCGTTATTGATTAACGCGATTTAAGTCGATGATTATATACGAGAATAGGCGATATATATATTTCAATAACAATCATTCATACGATCGAATTAAAGAAACAGATCACGGGCCACTAAAGTGGAGAGCCCGTCAACAACATCGTCCGATCTAAATGACGACAAAATAAAGGCCCCCACGGGTTTTTCAAAAATGACTGATTGTAATCTATGTCAGACAGTTTTCAGCGAGTTTAGATATCTTAGCAGCCTGTTATTTGCCTTAACACTTTGATTGGTTCAAATTTATTTATGCTGTTGATATAGTATTTTCTTAATAATTCAATCAATGAAATACAAATCGTAATCAAATGATAAGCTGCATATACGATAATAGTGTAGTAGTGTAGTGTAACTTAAGTAACAACGTTATTTATAAACAAGGTATTATTTTCAAGTGCGGTTAAATTATGTGAATTAGACATAAAAATGTTTGATCTTAAGAAATCTAGCAACCATGACAATGGATGACATTAGGTTGTAGTCAATCATTTATTTGTCAGTTTCGTTACTTTTCTGATTGAATTACAAATTAATTGACGGTGATTGGTTCATCATTCGAGTCAATTGTCCAATAGGGGACACGAAGTACCACAAGTCAGGTTTATATCCGAAGCCCATATATATGTGTGGATGAAAATAATTTGAATAAACAGTATGGATGACAATTACCGGCGTTATGAAGAATTACATAAATAGATAGATAGTGAAAAAGCGTCTACCACCGTTTTATTATTTTACACTTCAGGCATTTTGGTCATCAATAAAGTACATTATGTTTGTTAGTTCTTTATGATTTTTAAGCATATTTTTGATCATTTTTTATATTAACATGATAAAACAAACACACAGTTTCTAAGTAGTTACACATCAATTAATGAATAATTTAACTAGTTTTTTCTTACTGCTAGTTAAAATGATTAATTTTAATTCTAACTATAGCATAAGGTCCTGTATGATCATTAGATTTACATAAGAATTAATAAAGGTACATATTTACATACCTCAATTAGAGCACATTAAAATAATTCTTATTCATTCTATAAATTAAATTCAATCTTTAAAAATATTCTGTAAAACGTTCCATATTTTCATGAAGAAGTCCTAATACGTTTAACCAATACCTTCTTTTAAAATATCTACATTTTTTAAATGTAATTTCTATGATAGATTTTAGCATTTGTTAGTGTTGAATAATTACTTTGTTATTGTTATAAACAATGGAAAAGACCTAATTAGATAATCCTTCCAAAGTTTTGTCATCTTTCTAACTTACTACAGAGAAACAAAGCATCTTTTTTTTCCTATTATCAATAGTGGCAACATTTTTATGATATTGTTTTACATAACCAAAGATCCGTTATCTGCAATTATACAAGGAAATTAAATTCTGTCTTTACTAATCCTATATATATATCTTGAACTCGAAAAGATAGCAGTGATAATAATACACTCAGTAAAACGTTTATTACGATAGGACTGTGTATCTTTAGAAATGTTTTCAATGTAATGGGACAAATGGTGTGAAAGTATAACTTTTGGTACTATTGTAGTGACTCACGTTTATCACGAGAACACGACTGGTTTAATAAAAACAATTATTATTATAACCAACTGTACCAGTGTTTGTTTTAATGTGCTTTTGTTTAACTGTGCTAATTATAGCCATTTTGTGCTTCCATTACCTTCCATCATTGTTCCGCGATTTTTGGTACTGTTCGCACGTACTCCTGTCTTCTGCTTTCGCTTGTACCTCTTCTTGGCACGATCTCGGTATTCGTTCAATACCACGAGATCGCCAACGAAATAAATCTGGTTACATTCAACTCTCGCCTTCTGATTTATCTGGCACGTGTTTCCTGATAGCGGTGTTCACAGTTAATCTCAACTCGACGCCACGCTACACTATAATATGGAGAATTACTATTTATACCATAATTTGTAATTAATTCTGTATATGTATATTCTCCTGTTTTCGAGCTTTCGTTTGACTAATAAATCGTTGTCATATGTCTTATTGTTCCAGATTCATAATCATTTAGTTATTTCCCCATTACTTCAGTTTAGCGTCACGTATGACTAAGTCATGTGGATGTTGTGTTGCTGTTTGATCGAACATATCAGCGATACTATGGGTTCAGAGTCATGATTGAATAGAGTAAAAGCAAGAACTAATCTGCTTCCTGTACTTGTCCGATTCGATGATTAGTTGAAAGGAGCTTGAGGGTCAGTAATTGTTAAGTTCTCAGTTGCTGTTCATTGTTTAATGTCAACAGGCTAAGAAAAGGGCACCGGTCCTGCTGGAGATATAGACGAGCAAATCGATAGTCGAAGTGATAAGATGATACAACGATTCTCCTGTAATTACGCCCTGATCACACAAGCCGCAATACAATATTAAACATCTATTTTTATTCGTTATATTAGTTTTGTGCCATAACAAAAAATGCACTAATCACGGTAACTTGGTTAGACGAGATAGAACGTATTTACTAACAGCAGTTATTGGTTAATTATTCAAAAGGTTTGGTCATTTCATTGGTTGTTTGTAGAATTAATATTGAATTATCGTCCCTCAATATTAAGTCCGTGAATGAGATTAAACAATCCCCAAATACTACCTTTTTTCAATGGATTCATGATAGAAACCTTTATTTTTCAAATTAGTGAATTTCATTACTATATGCATCAATGTACTTTTACTTAATTTTTTCAATTGACTATTCCATATTGTTTTTGGTAAACCGTACAATCCATTAATAAAATGTTGGGGTGATCCGGTAACTTGCTTGCAAAAGATAAGCAAGCATCAGGAAACACTAAGAAGCGTTTCATCCAATCAGCGTTCACTTGAAGTGTTAGCCAAAAATATCAAGGAAGTCAAACGTCACATACTGAGGTTCTGATTGGCTGATTGCTACACTGTTACTATGTTTAGTAGCATTCCAGATTATTCTAGCAACTCAAGAACATTTGAAATATTATAAAAACCCTGTATTTTCTGTGTTGAGACGAACCTTGGAGTAAACTACTTCTCGCATGCTTTGCGTCTTCTCTCTCGTGTTCAGGTCACTTTATAGTTCTAGCTTGGAGGTTACAGAATAGCTTAAGAGACGAATATAGCGTTCAATCTGCAAGACTTATCACAAAACAATACTGTATCCAGTTTCAATAAATACGCTTGACTATATTGTTGACTAGTGTGACTTCTTTATTTCATTTGGTCATATGATTTAACTGAAGAAAGATAAACTTACAAAGCGCATCATATTCATAAACGTAAAATAACCAACTCAATGGGTTGCTTTTTTAGTATAAGGAGATGTGGAGATTATTCATGAACTGACCTTTGTTGGACAATCATTGAAGACCAAGAAGCGCAGGACTTCGCTGCAGTGCGCGTTCATCACCTCATCAGGGATCGACACCAGCACCTTCAAGCTTTTCAGTGAACATTTAACATTTCAGGTTATACCTTAATTTTTATGCACTTATTCACTGTTTGTGTCATAGATGTTATGAACTAGCATCCTCAAACTCAAAATAATAAAATATTTAGTATAGTAAATAACTTTAATAATCATGCATTCCTAAGTATATATAGAGATCAATTGTTTTATTCTATACAGTAGTATGATTCAAAGTGGTCTTGAGTGCTGTTAGAGGTATGCACTCAAGACCGAAACTATTATGTATTTGTGATAAGCATGTTACCAAGACATAAGGTAACACATGTTCATAGAACTATAGGATATAATAAATGTTAGCAGGTATAAGTAGTATGTAGTACTGATTGGAAGGGGAATGCCTACCTTGTAGAAGATTGAAATAAAGAGAACAGGAAAGAAATCGGAGGTCAGTCGAGATAATAACACAGTTAAAGGAAGATATAAAAACGACGTATTTAATGTGTGATTTTTATATTCTGCTAAGTAATTGTGTAATTTTGTATTTGACAATTAATTGGTCTTCCCCACCCAAGTTCTTGTTCACTATGATACATATATATATGCATGTATAATTAATGAAGTAATCATATACAAGCCAAAAGATGGTTAAACGTAACATTTAGCAGGAAAACAGAACATGAATGACTTAATCTTGAAATACCAATTTTATTTGTTTCCGATGTAATTTGTTCGCTGAATAAAGTTTAAATCAATTAATGAGTATTATATCAAATGTTGACATAAAATTTCTCTTTATTTATTTCATTTGTCAGTTTTCATAATAATTATCCTATTTTTCGATCTTTTTTTTGCAAATAATATAAATGACAGTTCAATATTTAATGGTTTTCATTTGTTTATAATATTCCATTTAATCCATTGATAGAAAATTACCGAATTGTGCAACTTTCCTTTCAACTTGTGAAAGATATTTATCTGGTATGCCAGCCTCTCTAAAATTTAAGAATATTTTATTTATTTTTATTCTTCTATAGAAGGTTATAAGTTTAAATCAATAAAATAATAGGTAGATTATCTTTAATGAATTGCACACAATCTCTCTCTCCTCTCTCTCTCTCTCTCTCTTGTTAAACCATATTATCATTGTGCATTATATACTTAAGATCTATGGCAATCCATCTTGTTGAGAGCAGTCATAAATGTATGTACGTGACAGTAGCTGGCATATAATACGACATTAATTACGGTCAACAGTGTTGGTGTGTCATTGATTGTTATTATTATTATTATTATGAATAAAAAATGACGGCCATTATAATACTTAAGTAATACGTATAATATTGTTCAAAAATTTGTTTTAGATAAATTCAGACAACGTATATTAACTACTAGTGGTTATTCAATCGATTTGTGAATGCAGAAAATATGTATCTATTCAATGAGCCAATACATATCTACATTAGTCAATTCACTTCGAGATATTGATAAACAAAGACATAGAATACCTTACAGCTGGTAGTAAATATCAATTTAGTAGTTATCGTTACTCACAAGACTATTGGACTACTGTTCTAGTGTTTAATATGATTATAAACAGATCGTAGTACACCCTGTGAACGTCACCACGAAAACATGGGTACATTCAGCTGAATGACGATTGAAAAACGACGAGGAACTCCAAGATTTCAATCATACATACCATTCAAAGTGTATTTCAGTACATTGCTTTCACTTCAAACAAGCATTATAAATGCAAATATTGTTAGTTTTAACTTACATTACGACAAGTAAAACTTACTAAGATGTAAGCATATGCTTTTAAGAAAGATATAAAATGTGACGTAAAATACTTCTTGTGTTCCACTAATAACCAATACCAAAATAGAACTACTTACTTTAACTCTTTTAATTTACGTGTTTTCGCCTCGTTTAAACGCAAACGCCTTAATCTTGCTTCTTCATTTAATCGCAGACCTTCTTCAAATACAGCATTTCTTTCTGCAATGCGTTCTTTTTCTTTTTCACATATTTGAAGGCGAAGATCTTTTAAATTTTGAAAACTCTTCTGTTTAGCTTCATATTCAGCGCGTTTATCATTTTCTACAAGTTCTTGTTGACGCCTTAAAAAGTATATGAATTAAAGTAAAAACATTTCTTATCCATAAAGCCATTTTCTCAATCATATTCTATTGAAATAGTTGATCTAATTAAAAAAACGTATCGTTGATCGTAATTTTAATGCTTCTGTTTATGGTAGCATGTAACGTGTATATTGTACTAACTTATCGGCTTCTAATTATGCAAACCTTTTCGAGCTTTTTTATGATTGACCTTACTTGTCTCAGATATACAGTATTCTTATGAGTATCGAAAAAGTTAATTGAGCGGTGAATTATTCATCCTCAATATTCATTTACTTGACATATGAGCATTGGATCAGTGATTTTATGAAAGTCGCTTTTTATTTCTCCTTAATGAATGAACACATACGTTTATTTTATAGCAGACTTTTCATACTATTTTGTTTTCCAATTGCGTTTTATTATTCTTATTGCTCTTGCCGTGTTTTAAATGAAATCAACAGACTGTTGAGTCAAATAGTAACTTTTCAAGTGAGGAATATGAAGAGATTCAATAATGTAAATTGGTTTGTTGTACTTTTTTTTCATATTTTACTTGGAATCTTGAATGTTAGTTGATATTCTACGAATAGGAGAAGTAAAGTGTAGTATTGTAACCGTACCCCTTAGAATAATATTAATCGGGTGAGAAATGAAATTTGAATCTATTAAAATGCCAATGTATTCATATGTAAAGGGTCGTTTAAAAGGAGGAAAAGATATATGATCTCATTAAAGTATGCTTCAAGAGCTTGTTTTTAATTTATATTTCTGGAGAATAAAATGTTTTGTAGTCAATCATCCCCACGACTATAATCATCACTAATTTCTTCACATAACCTAACCACAAAAATCTCACTTTTAGAGTTTACTTACATAATAAATTTCAGTAATGTATGCGGTTGATGGTTTAAACATTGAAGTGAAACTTGATGAGTTGTTTGAATTCAAAGTCCGCTTGCTAACTTGAAGGATTAATGTTGAAATTTAGTTAGGAATGAAGTTATGAGATTAGTCATTTTGTCTATACGATAGCAAAGGGTATCAACTAAGATTGCATTTTTAAACATTTAGAAATAACTGAAGTTTGTAAATGTTCAGCATAAATAAAGATATAGTTATTATTTATGAAACCAACGTATATCTACCATTTAATAAAATAACAAAGAGTGCAAAATTGAATGTGTGATATAAAATAATTTACTTCAAAATTCTTTCAAATTCAACTCTTTCACGACCAGCTTCAATTGCTAACTGACGTTTTCTGTCTTCAGCTTGTGCTGCTCTAGCTAATTTCAATTCATTTTCTGTTTCAATTTTTTTCTGTGCAGCTAATAATTCTTTACGTCTCCATTCTCTTTCATTGGCTTCAGCTGCACGTTTAGCTCTTAATGCATCACGTTCTGCCGCCTCATCTGATGCTCTTTCTTGTAATGCACGTAAACGTGTAATTTCTAGTTCTTTCTCACGTTTTATACGTATTTGTTCGGCTTCATAGGCAGCTTCACGTTCCTTTAAATGAGAAAAGAAAGTTAAAAATCATATTCATGATTGAATTTCTCTATTTCTCTTAAAATTACAGCGTTTATAATGGTTTTCTAATCACAAATACAATAAAGCTATTTAACAAAGTATGTTGTTTTAAAATAAATAAATAACGACACGATTTCACCAACTGTGTAAATCACATCAACAGTGTATCTAAAATGAAATCTGGTTTTTGAATGATTTGATGAAAGTAGCAATAAGAATTAATTAGATCCAAATTAAATGCCGTTAATCTTCTGATTTAAGTGCAGCAGACTTCACCAGCTGACATAAATAAACATATCTGAATCTTCTTAAGGTCGAATTGATATGAATTTTTTAACTTTTAAAAAACGTTCCGTCAGTTTAATTCAATATATCCGAAAATATTACTTCCAAATACATACATTTATCATAAAACTAAGTCGATTGGCAAGTGAAAGTCTTTGCTCAAAAGTTGCTTAGCAGGCTAGGTAATTCACAAATATGAATAAATATTGACTATTTGTTTCCAACTATTATATATAGAATTACTGTAGTATATACGAAATGGATTACAAGAAGGTAATGATTTCTTATCAGCATATTAAGCATATATTGTATTCAGTGTTTATGAATTGTCAATTTTGTTCAACATTATTTCCCATTACTTTGACATGGACAAAGTGAGAACTGTGGAAAAACAATATTACTTGAATATTTATGATTCAGTTACCAAGAGAAAACATTCTAAATTAGCTGTTATATCAATTTCAGTTAAACTTGAAGTAGTATTCTCCATGATTTTACACATCTACACAAAAACGTATTTGATAAAATTTATTTTCTGAAAGTTAGTAATTAAAAATTGTTACTAATGTAATTAATCAACGTAAACTTCGTGAGAAAAAAACAATTCACTATTTTATACACAAACAAACAGAGCTTTTATGAAATATGAAAATCATACATTGGTTGCACATCTTTCAGTTGTTGTTAACATACGACATTATCCTTTCAATCCTGATGTTATTCTAATTGCTCTTCATTTTCCTTTCTTTTATTTTTATTTCATTGTTCTGCTGATAAACATTCTACTCCTAATTCTAGCTAATTACTACTTATTTCTGCATAAGTAGTGCAAGCGACACCAGTAGTTACTAAATTCAAACAATCTTTGTGGTTGTGTAATTCAGTTGCTTGGTATTTAATGAGCTATGGCTTGGAACAAAAGCTAGTGAAGAACTTGCTGTATTTCTGTATCACGCTCTTTATCAAGAATAATATACACCTACAAATTAAAAAAAATCAATTTCTATCGATTTGTTACTAGAAATAAATCTTAAACATTCCTTAACCTCTTGTTATCATTTTCCAAGTTCTACTTCGCCATGTCGATGCCAACCTTATCTACGTAGCGCATTTCGCTTAGTTCTTGTGTAGCAGCTTTTACAATCCTTGTCCACACAACACTATTTCATTGTCAGAGAATGAGAGTTCATAAATACAAGTTGATTATTCGCTAGCTGTTTCTACAAGAACTTATGTTCAATATTTTATATTGAATGATTTCATCAAAAAAATCAATAATGTTTTCGTGCCAATAAAAAATGGTTTAGGGAGTAGTGGCTTACTGCTTTTTCATTTTGAATTTGCATTATTTTCAGATCCATCAGACGATCTTTTTCCTTTTCAATTTCTCGTCGTTTTCGTAATTCCTCATTAGCTATATTAAGCTCTATTCTCATCTTTTCTTGAATTTTTCTTTTTTTCTCTCTGTTAGCAATTTCTTTCATATTCTCGTCAGCTATTCGTTGTGTCGCTAAAATATTTTCCTGTTCGGTCCGTTCTAATTCCAACAAACGATCTTGTTTGTTCTCCTCGATTTGTTCTAAAACTCTACAAGCTCCAAGAATTTCCTAAGAAAAAATTAATAATAATAACAACAAATTTCACAGAATTATCAAAATTCATTTTAATTTGCTTCCACCTATAACTCGATGATTACGCTCCTGATATCAGGATTCGCCGAAATTCTAAAATTTTAGTTTACTAAAAAACAGTCTTATAGTGAAAAAATAAATCATATAAAATCTATAAATCGTTTTGAGTAAACTGATGCAACTCATAAGATTCTAAACAAATTGGAATCAATGAATAAACTAAACGTTAGAAATTTTTCTGGTAAAATCCGGATGTTACTTATTGATCACGAGATCGTAGGGAAGATTTTTTTGTTAAAAAGGATAAACTCAATAGTGTTGATATATTTGAAGTGAAAAATTCATTTATTAAACTGTCATTTTCTTCACATATGTAATCATAAGCACAAATTTTAAAAAAAATGTGCGCACTTTGAGATTTCACAAAATATTCTTCTGATAACTTGAGAAACGATAAACTGATATTCATAGCTTTATTATGGATATCTAATTAGGTGTAAAAAACTCCGCCTGGCGTCCCTCCGGGGGCTACTGCCGGTCCCAAGCCCGAATAAAGGAGGAGGGTTGGGCATTGGGTTAGCGTCCCCATCCTGTAGAAAACTAATTCGCTAAGAAAACATTAACCAGAAAAAATTATTCAAACCTTTTAAACTATGCCCTGGGAGTCAGAAGGTCTTCGTTTAGAAGAACTATGACGCCTCATGATGAAAGCCGAATTCCTTCGGAAGTTACGAGGCTGACGCCCCTTCTGACAACCAGAGCGACCATTTATTTAGGTACATGGAATGTTCGTACAATGTGGGACACCGGGAGAGCCTTCCAAATTGCTGCAGAAATGAGAAGATACAACCTAGAGGTACTTGAGATCAGTGAAACACATTGGACACAAGTTGGACAACAACGACTAACTACAGGAAAGCTCCTGTTATACTCCGTCCATGAAGAAGAAAATGCACCACATACACAAGGAGTTACATTGATGCTGTTCAAAAAAGCGCAAAATGCGCTTATAGGATGGGAATCTCATGGACCAAGGATCATCAAAGCCTCCTTCAAAACAAAGAAAGAGGGCATTTCAATGGACATCATCCAATGCTATGCGTCTACCAACGACTACAATGAAGAAGCTAAAGATCAATTCTACAATAGGCTGCAGTCAATCATCGAGAAGTGCCCAACAAAGGATCTGACCATTCTGATGGGAGATTTCAATGCCAAGGTTGGAACGGACAACACTGGATATGAAGACATCATGGGACGACACGGACTGGGAGAAAGAAACGAAAATGGTGAGAGATTTGCAAATCCTTTTGCCTTCAATAAGCTGGTCATAGGCGGAACTGTATTCCCACATAAACGCATACACAAAACCACATGGACTTCACCGGACCACACCACGCAAAACCAAATCGACCATATTTGCATCAACAAAACGTTCAGGAGGACTATAGAGGACGTGAGAACCCAGAGAGGAGCTGATATAGCATCAGATCATCACTTGCTGGTCGCCAAGATGAAATTGAAACTCAAGAAGCACTGGACAATAGGGCTGACAATATCACAAAAGTTCAATACGGCCTTTCTTCAGGATACTAACAAACTCAAGAAGTTCAAGATAGTCCTCAGCAACAAGTTCCAGGCCTTTCATGATCTACTCAATGGAGAAGGAACTACTGTGGAGAGCAACTGGAAGGGGATCAAAGAGGAAATCACTTCAACATGTCATGAGGTCCTGGGTCACAAGAAGCACCATCACAAAGAATGGATCACTGTTGATACACTGGATAAGATTCAAGAAAGGAGGAACAAGAAAGCGGCAATCAATACCAGTCGAACAAGAGCAAAAAAGGCCAAGGTACAAGCTGAATACTTAGAGGTAAACAAGCAAGTGAAGAGGAGCATCAGAACCGACAAACGTAAATCTGTGGGAGATTTAGCAACGACGGCGGAAAAGGATGCAAGAGAGGGAACATGAGACAACTGTATGACACGACAAAGAAACTCTCTGGAAGTCGCCGCAAACCAGAGCGACCAGTGAAAAGCAAGGAAGGCGAGGTAATCACCAACATTGAAGAGCAACAAAACAAGTGGGTAGAACACTTCAAAGAACTCTTGAATCGACCAGCTCCACTGAACCCACCCAACATCGAAGCAGCACCCACGGACCTCCCAATCAACGTTGGCCCACCAACGATTGAAGAAATCAGCATGGCCATCAGACAAATCAAGAGTGGCAAAGCAGCAGGACCACACAACATCCCAGCAGAGGCACTAAAAGCAGACGTAGCGGCAACTGCAAGGATGCTCCACATTCTCTTCAATAAGATTTGGGATGAGGAACAAGTACCAACAGACTGGAAAGATGGACTTCTGATCAAAATACCGAAGAAAGGCGATCTCAGCAAGTGTGATAACTACAGAGGCATCACTCTTCTGTCAATACCGGGAAAAGTCTTCAACAGGGATTGTTAAACAGGATGAAGGACAGCGTAGATGCCCAACTTCGTGACCAACAGGCAGGATTCCGTAAGGATAGATAGTGTACAGACCGAATCGCAACTCTACGGATCATTGTGGAACAATCAATTGAATGGAATTCATCACTCTATATCAACTTCATTGACTACGAAAAGGCATTTGATAGCGTGGACAGAACAACACTATGGAAACTTCTTCGACACTACGGCGTGCCTCAGAAGATAGTCAATATCATACAGAACTCATATGATGGATTACACTGCAAAATTGTGCATGGAGGAGAGTTGACAAAGTCGTTCGAAGTGAAGACCGGTGTTAGGCAAGGTTGCTTACTCTCATCCTTTCTCTTTCTCCTGGTAATCGACTGGATCATGAAGACGTCAACGTCTGAAGGGAAGCACGGGATACAATGGACATCTAAGATGCAGTTGGATGATCTAGACTTCGCAGACGATCTGGCCCTTCTATCCCAAACGCAACAACAGATGCAGGAGAAGACGAACAGTGTGGCAGCAGTCTCAGCAGCAGTAGGTCTCAATATACACAAAGGGAAAAGCAGGATTCTCCGATACAACACAGAATGCACCAATCCAATCGCAATTGACGGAGAAGATTTGGAAGATGTAAAAACCTTTACATATGTGAGCAGCATCATTGATGAACACGGTGGATCTGATGCAGATGTGAAGGCGCGGATCGGCAAAGCATGAGCAGCATATTTACAACTGAGGAACATCTGGAACTCAAAGCAACTGTCAAACAACACCAAGGTCAGGATTTTCATTGCAAATGTCAAGAGAGTTCTACTGTATGGGGCAGAAACCTAGAGAACTGCGCAAGCCATCATCCAGAAAATACAGGTGTTTGTTAACAATTGTTTACGCAAAATACTTCAGATCCATTGGCCGGACACTATTAGCAACAACGTACTGTGAGAGAGAACAAACCAGATCCCAGTGGAGGAAGAAATCAGGAAGAAGCGCTGGAAGTGGATAGGACACACATTGAGGAAAGCACCCAACTGCGTCACAAGACAAGCCCTCACATAAAATCCTGAAGGCCAAAGGAAAAGAGGAAGACCAAAGAACACGTTACGCCGAGAAATGGAGATAGACATGAGAAAAATGAGCAAGAATTGGATGGAACTATAAAAGAAGGCCCAGGACAGAGTGGGTTGGAGAATGCTGGTCAGCGATCTATGCTCCATTGGGAGTAACAGGCGTAAATGAAATGAATTAAGTGTGTAAAAGGCTTGTTTTAGGCCTCTTAAGTGGTGTCAAGTAAATAGAGGGATTTAACAAGACAGCCCAAACCTTGGTTCTGTATTGGGTGACAATTGTCAACATGTAACATCTGTGACCAAGAATTAACTGAAATTTTGATGGAATTTAAACATGTATCACTTAGTATCATAATCAGTGAAATTATCACGGAGAGAATCAATCTCTTTCAAATAATAGGTACGTCGTGCTGAGGAATGCCGTTTAGCATAAAACTTACGTTTGGGGTTTTCTATCCACTGGTTTAATCATTCAGGTATGGAAACAGTTCATTCGATATCAAACAGCTTAAATCACACTTTAAGTTAAACAAAATAGCTTGATAAGTAAAAATTTCTAGATGAACATGATATTGGTGATTTTTGAGTGAAAATAATTGGACAATTAGGATATCCTTTAACAGCTTATTTGTTTATTATTTGGATAGCTGCGGAGCTTTAAAAAATTGCTCTCCTTGTTTTGAGTATAATCTCAACAGATTATTTTGATGGTTTTTTTTATCATACGCTTCAAATTTGTATCATACTATTGGGCTAATGTCACTAGCAGCCTAAAAATGTCAAATTAAGGAAGATAAAATAAACTTTTGTATAAGGAAATAATTCTTTTCATGTATCAAAATTAATGTCCATTAATACTACTCAAAACGTTACAGTAAATTACAGATTAAGTGATCAGTAATTTACATGACCTCAAAATACTCACGTGAGGAGGTTGTAAACATGCTGCTTTTGGTTTTTTTCTATAATTTCGCCGGATTTTCTAAAGAACTGTAACTTTCTCGTTATTATTTATACACAAAATTATTTATGTGGGATATAGTCTTCCGCTAAACATTTTGGCGAATTTATAATTGCATTATTATATCTGTCACCTTATCTTAACCATATCTATTCCGACCATTAATCTCACAATTTTATTTAACATATAAATTTATTTAAGCTAACATCAAATATTGGTCAACCCGGCACTAATAATTTTATTTTATTTGACAAACAATCCTAAATTCATACGCTATAACTTTGAACGATGTATTTTTCTAAGACCGGACCACTGCTTGGATTGGTAATTTGGACTTATAATTGCAGAACCTACAGATAATATTACAAAGGATGTCAATCGTTCATATATTAGTGATCTTACTATCAATCTGACATAAAAGAAGGTGATGTTTTGTTGTATTTTCAGGTTTGTGTTCTAGAAAATTTCGTACCTTTACAACTCACAAATATTTAATCGCATTTCTAAGTAAACGAAATAATCAACAAATTTAGCGGTTGTTTTTTTGTATTTTGTTTCAGTCCGTTAGTCTAAGGTAAGTAAAGAGATATGAAACTTGGATTCTCACTGTTTATTGAATCCGTTTACAAATTTTTTTCAATGGATATTTGCCAAACAGTTGTTTCATAATATTTTCATATACTTTTGACGGTAACATATCTTTCCATTTATTGTTCATAAATTCCAGTCATTTATAAAACTTTTACTCGGCTATGAATTAAAAATGCCCTGGTTTTGTGTATGCTAAGGTCTACCAGACGTGGTGGATTTTAGCCATAGGTTTAACTCACAATCACTTGAGTTATAAAACTATGATTTTCAGTATCCTAACCGGGGTTCTAGGTAAGAGTGAATTTACATGCCACAATACTGCAACGTAGTTAGCAACTCAGAAAAGAACATACTGACAGTTGTTAGTGAAAAATAACTAAGCGATATCAGATAAAGTTTACCAATCATGTTTTTCATTAAATATGCTGACGTAAATTGACATCATGAAACTCTATCTTTACTAAGACGTTCAATGATGGCTTTATCTGTTATTTAGCTTATGGTTAGTTTCACATGACTTCTTAATATGTTGCTTTGTTAATAGTATGGATATCTAAGATATTTAAAAAGGGAAAAAAGATTATATCCACATCATGAACACGTTCCCTTGAAAAGTCAGCTAAATCGTTGTGGATCATTTAAAGGAATGGTTTTATTAAAGAATGAAATAATATTAATCAGTCAGCCTACCAAAAGAATTAACGAATCAATCAATAACAGGATTCAAATAAAGCTGCTACCTGCTGTTTACGCTTTTTTTCTATCTCTTCCTGTATGTGTATAGCGTTTTGTCTTTCTAATTCCATCATATTATCTAGACGTAGTTCTTCTTCGGCCATTTCCTTTTTGATTAAGCTTTTTTCCAGAATTTGTTCGTCTCTTATTGCTTGTATTTTGGCATTTAATATCCATTCGTTTAATGCCTTTATCTCATCTTCCTGATCTTGCCGTTGTTCCAAAGCTTTTTGTAACAAACTTTCTGCTTGTTTTTTTGCTTCTTCTTCCAAATCTGTAAGTCGTTCGTTACGCACACGATTTAAATCATATTCACGCATTTTCTGTTTACGTTGCTCTACTGCTTCCTACGAAAAAATAGTGGGGATCACTGAACACCAAAATTATTTTGTGTATTAAAGGTTGGATAAAAAGCTTACAACACCTGAAGTCCAAAACATAAACTTTCTTTTGGTATTTCTAGTACAGTTACTGGACGTAAATCAAAAATGTTATATTTACTTTGAATCTATAAGGACTATATCTTTTTGCTCCTAGGTTTTTTGATTTTGAAAAGTATTCTGATCATCGAAGTGCGTTGCACGAATCTAATCACCATGTTTTAAGACAGAAAAAGATCACTTTATAAGGTTGCATAATCAAATATCACATTAGCATACAAGCATAATCGTGTGAAAGAAAGTTTATCAAGATTATATCAATGTTTTTATCCTTAACGTTATTAATTCACTGTCAAAGGTTTTGAAGCTTATATTCGAATAATGGGTACATACAATTATGTTGGTTTTCAGTGGTCATGTGAGACTTAAAAATTATTTAAAAAATTACGTGACCTCACATAAAATACCTTCGATAGTACATAGTTGATAACTATCAAACAGTCTAATGAATTACAGAAATTAGGTAATCAAAAGCCAATAATTCTGTAAGCAGTTAGATATTTCTGGATTATCATCGAAAGGTTGAAACTTGTAAATTATCCATGACAGCTTACGTTGGACCATATTTTTAAGCTGTAAACTCAGACTTTCAAGATGATATGTAGACATATTGTATTTCACTAACGAAACAGTTTGCGAATTTCCGAAAGAAAACCATTGCAAAAGTAAAACAAACATAACTAAAACATTATTTTTACTCAAATGTCTGTATTTTAAGCTTAAGTATTTCGTGATATGAAGCAGATACTGCTTTTAATATATTTGTAAAGCTCTTTTACTATTAAACTAGCTTTAAGATGTTACAATGAGCAAACCCATATCAAATTATTAGTTTTGTTCAGGGATATACTTCATATATACAAATATACGCAGAAAACTGTAGCAATAAATGTATCCCCCAAACAAAGTTCTGTAAGTCTTCAAAACGGATGTTGACATCATTGGTTTTACACGAAATGCCCTGACTGAAGCTGCTAGATCACGCATCCGTACCAGATCACGGGTGAGCGCACCGTGCTACTCATCCCTTGAAACGGCTAGCTAGTTAAGTTCAGACACTACTCACACACATCGACAACCTTTCTAAATATACATTGAACCTATTCGTTGTTGACTTTTGATCAAGGTGGACTGATATCCTTGGATTATGAAGGTGTTGCGGACAAAATCATTGTTGAACCCTGAATGTTTTAGAACTCTTCATCACTTTTAGAGGCAAAATGAATTTTTTTGCGAAGTGACTTTTGCATACTCAGTTAACACTGAAAATATTTATTTGTAAATTATGCAGAAAGCAAACAATAATCTGTTTCTCGATTTATTTATAAATACCTTCTTAGGAAGTCTAAAGTAAGGTTTTTTCAGTTTTTCAATTTAGCATCAGTTGACTTCAAGCTTAATACACCGATTTTAAATGCTTATTTACAAATACGATTCTTACCAGAGTTGATTTTTGTTCAGATTTCTCTTGCTCATTAGCAAATTGTTCTTCTTCATTAGTCAACAACTTAGCTTTTTGTAAAAGTTCTTTATATTTTTCTGGTGGAATGACTATCCTTTTCTTGTCAATGCAATTTGAGGGTATTCTGTGAAGCAAGATAAACGGCAAAATTTCTTACATAAGATTACGAACTAAATCAGATGTGAGATGCCTTATTTTTCTTCTCTTCTGATTTTCTTTTTGTAGTTCATACTCTTCCCGTAATAAACCTGGTTTAAATAGTTTTTGCCTTGTAATAATGATGTCAGGGTCTTTCGAAAAACTATCATCCTGATCCGTCAGATGGCACTATGGAAAATAAAACTTATTTTGAATTTGACTACCTGTCGTTCTTTTAAATGCAAAGGCAATCCAAATAAATTTTCATCAACATTGGAATGTCTACTTATTGTACGATACGATAGTGTTTTGGACCTTTTAGAATGTGAGGAATTGGAAGAGTGAAAGCTTTGGCTACGTGTTCCCGCACTTACAAAGCTGCTTGCTGGCTAAAATTTAAATAACAATAAACTATGGAAATCACAATTTCATACCATCGTCAGTTCTATGTTGTTATAGTTATTCAAACATTTGAAACGGAAAAACAAAAGCTTTCATGATGTCTGTATTTACTATTTTTTCGACCAAATGTTTACATATTGTAATGAACAGTAGTGTATTTGGTTTGGTTTCTATACATTTTATGAAGTTTCGAATGACTGTAGAGAATATGAACGAGCGTCTACTAAATGACCATATCAAGGGAAACAAAATCATATTGACTCGTCGAAGCAATAGATGTGTACAAAAGATGAGATTAAAGTAATTCATAACCTTGATAATAGTTATTATTAGTCTATTAACTCATTCTGAAAAGCTATAGATTGTGATAGTACGATACTTGAAAACAATCGACTTTTAAACACATTATTAAAAGTCTGTAGCGATAAATAAATCTCCGAAATAAATAGTTGTGTAAGTTTTCAATACTGACGCTGACCCCATTATTTTAACTAGGCACATCTAGACGAAGGCGATCGGTCCCGAATCCGCACCAGATCACATGTGGTTTCGCCGTGATACTCATCACTTACCACCATAAGCTGGCTTATATTGAACGCTTACTTATACGTCTCATATATAAGGTGTTAATTGTGTATAAATAATTTGCTGTTACCAAAACAGTCCACACGTTTTGTCCACAGCCTACTCCAAATAAATGCTAATTCTACTTTCTCCAGTTTTTTAGCTCATATTTAGTCTCTAAAACGTATTGAGACTTGAGATGTTGAGTACTCCCATAGAAGGCTATTTCTCTACGTGTTGCCACGACATGATAAGTCGAAAAACGTTGGAGAGTAACAATGTTCAGTATTCAATAGGATTATGAAGATCATTGCAACGCTACTCACTAAACTTTTCGTAATTGACGAAGGTCTTCAGACAACCTAAATTGTAGTCTGTTTCTACATTCTAATCACTGTATGCTGTAAACAAGGTCTACAGAGGATCGATGTGCATTCACCGAGATTCACGATTTGACAAGATAAATGCTCACATTTGCAATGGAGAATGATTAATAGTAATGCTGTCCATTGTTAACACTGTAGTTCATCGACAATGTAGCTCCCATTAACAATTGCTGTCGTGAAATCGGGGTTACCACGGAATTTTCCCTAGTTTCCAGACTGCTAACTATGCATGTGACTAATATCAAATAATCTGCCTAAATCATCGGTTTATACGATTGTATTTGCGAACCGGGGGTTGAACTATTGGTTGAGACAACAACATGACGCAAAATCTGATTCCCCTATAAGCAGGGCTTTGAATATTAGAAAATATGTGATCCAGTAATTTGAATATGTCTGCTAGCTGAAGCATTTTAGTCTGTTGAAACTTTAAATGGAAAATATTTTTTAACGTCATAGAATAGTTTATCTCAAGTCCTGTTCATTTCAATGTTCTTAAACATGACCACATTCTTGAAGATTAAGTCAGATCTAACTCACCTTTCGACTTGATTTTTGAATAGTAGTTGAAAACTTAGAGGTTTACCGCTTGTGTATGGTGCGCTATTGATTTCCCATGTTCTTTGCGCTGTGCCACATCAATCGTGTTTATTTGTAACAGAAAACATGTATTTTCGTGCATCTGAATTGATAAATATTTGCCAAACCACTTTTTATTTAGTCACAACATGTGAATTTTCATAATATCTCACTTCACATTTATTATGACATGTAAGCATGAGCGTGTGACATTTAGATTCTTCAGTCTATAAAGGACCATGCTTCAATATTGTCGGGTCAATTAGAAGTATGTTAATCATGAAGGAGTTACTAAATAATAATAATATAGTCGAAAAATATGAGAAACAGCCGTAGAATGAATGTACAAAAATGTATTTATGCATGTGCTTGAATGAATGTGTGTATGTATTAATAAAATCATACAGTATTTTTTTAATCCCAGGGTAAGTTGAGCTTATCACTAAGGATTCACTAAAAACATCAGCATAAGATAATACTGATTTCCAGATATGCGACTCCAAATTCTTTTGAAAATAAAAGAAGGGGTAGAGAGTGTGTAGGATTATGGTCTGCTATGATATTAGTACTGCTCTAATAATAAACCTAATCCTAAACTTGTCGATTTGTCATGATATAACTGCCTAATCTATAAGATCTTACGTGGAAGTCACACCATCGACTACACCAACTCACTGTATCGTATCAATTACCAATACATGATGAGGAACAAGGTTAGGCTAGAGAAAGAACAATATATTTAATATGAATAGAAGATATAAAGTAACACTGAGATAGACCACGTCTGCATGGTTGAGCCATGCCACTCGATCAACTCCAGTCCATTCAATTCCTTGTTCGCGCCTTCCCCATTGTTAGGTATTTCTCGGCGTTAAATATTGAATATTTATTTTCTGAATAGTCTCGTGTTCACAGCTTTGTGGATTGTGTGGCTATTGTCCAATGCCACTACATTACTCTCACACCAGAATCAACGTGATGTTGGTTCGATACCAAATTGGATGGGATCGTCGCGCGCCGGAGGTTACCAAGGATAATAAGGATCCTTCGGGTATTGGTAAGCTGAAAGATAAATCAAAAAGAAAGCGGCAGCATCTGGTCGGGAAATACATGTAATAATTTTAAAATATCTGCCTTCATGTTTAAAACGCTTGAAATGAAAATCTGGGTGAAGATTATTTAAGCTATAAAAGAATGGGGTTACAATAATAATAATAATAAAACGATGCGTGTTAATAACTTAACTTATAGGCAGTAAGTATTTTGTGTTTAGAAATATTAAAATAATGAATATTTCGTGCCTTAAGGTAACCCTCGTGCTATTGATAGAAGAAACAAGAGAAGTAGTGAATAGGTCTTTATTTCGATCTCAGCGCGGTAACAGTGGAGCGTCGGATTACCTGTTCAGACAAACAAAGGCTCTCAACATTCAATATAAGATAATAGGGAATATAACGCTTATACAAAACAAGGAAGTGAATGAATACTTGAACAGTACTGTTTTGGCATATGCTTGGTTGTTTGGGGTCAACTCTTAACCAACCAACCTAGGCTGTTACATTAGCTTCCCCCTAGAATCGACTTCCGTAGGAACGTCGGTTCGATTAACCTAACTTTCGAAAACACCTTAGTTCTATTTCTCATCCCCAGGGAAAATTATCAACTCGCTCACTGTTTGACTTACAATCAGTGACGACTGACGCTGTCAACGATAGTCCATGGATGTCTCCTCATTTACTAGCTTGTCATCTTATTTTGTAGCATGTGATCTATTCTACAACTATCGCCGACGGTTTGCTGCGTGCATTCAAAAGAAAGTGTGAGAATGTGGAATAAGAATATCTGAGGAAGTGCCGCGAGCGGGCTACCCAACACCATGTTGGTGAGGTACGATTTTTCCGTGCTCAGACCGGCTATCAGGTGTTTACTCACCTGCCTCTTGAGTCGCCCTCAAGTAAAAAGTAAAGAAGAATCTACTTCAAAGGTAATGGTGAAAATCAAGCAAACCTGAAGAACTGCTCCACTGCCTGCATAAAATAATAAGATACAAAATGGAAATACATAAATGTAATTGATAATTGTTCGGTTCCACGTAAGTGCTTGGTCTCCAGAACGGATTGGTATTCTGGAAGAGAATAGACATAGTGTAGATATCTTGTGCACGAAAAACCATGAAAACAAAAAAAATACTCTTTTGTAATGCATATATGTAAAAGGGTGAACTTGCTAGAAGTTGGACTCTTTAACAAAATCGATCAAACGCGTGACCTTGAGCTTGTGATGACCGCGTTTCACAACTAGGTGCTTAACCAAGGGTGCATCAGAATACTCCACAAAACGGAAAAGAATATACGGTTAAGAAGCAAAAAAAAATTGTATAGAGTATGCGGATCAAGTACAGTTGTGTCAAATACCCTTTTCTTGTTTGATTTAGGTATGCATAATATATTGAAGCAATATATCGTCAATTCATCCAAGTAACGAATTGGTTTGCACCTCAGAAGTGTGTAAGTCCTATTACTTATTAGTATTATAAGTCATTAATTGGTGTAAGGAAATATTGAAGTCACTTCCTCCGTGGTCTGATGTGGCTTAACGGCTAAGCACGCGGTCTAGCATTCAGGAGGGCAGAGGTTCGAGTGAATGTGGGGCCTGCGTTTTTGTTCACCAGACCCACCTTCAATACGATGTTTGTTGCCCGTAAGTCGCGCACATATGAGAGAAAAAATGACAAGAGGACAGATTGATATATCAAAGTGCCATATTGGAAAAGTATAAGTTCTTTGTTTACATGAATATTATTGCTATAGAAAAAAAACTACAAGTTTAGTAAATTTCCATTTTACGTTATATTTAAACCAACGAATATATATATATATATATATATATCAGTTATTGACATAAAATGTTTTTTTTATAACGCTAATGTTAAGTTCCAGGACTTTGTATGGGCCACTAATAATAATTGGTTTGACGTTAACATAGTCGTGATATTCACATTGTCAGTTCAATGTTATGATTACTAAACAGTTCCCTTATAAGTTGTGTTTAAAATTAGGTATGTGGAATCAATGCGGCTGACATAGTAACCTTACAGTAACGCACTGTACTATATCTTCACGGTTATTGATTCTTAAATGTCAGAAATTAAAAAAAATCTGAATATTGCCAATAAAGATGGGTTATATGATCACACTAAAAAGCATGCTGCAGGGAAACTGGTTAAGTCATTACGTAAGTTTCCTAAACATGAAAAAAAATGATGAGAACTTTAATAAGTACTTGACCATGGTTTAATCCAAAATGTTTTGTCTAGAAAACTACTTATTAATAGTAGTATTAATCGTATCAAGCTACTAAACATATCCTCAACCGAAAACTTTTAGAAGTAGTTCATATGGTATATATGTATAGCCAGTCTACGTGAAAAATATATATAAATATATAAGAAGTACAGCCAACATAGTTAATTAACCAGAAAAAGAAATTATAAAACTCGCCTGGGTTGCTTTTTGAATTCTTTGTATTTGCCAGTGTTAGTTGTATGAGTTTGATTAAAATCCTCAGCCATCGTTTCGGAGTACCTAGC